CAACCTGAAATTTCTCTAAATTTTCAATTGCTCATCTCCCTGAAGTTGTAAACTGAAGTGTTCGCAAGATGTCGAAAACAAATCCATAAAAAACGCAGCTCCAATTCGAGAGCCAAACCTGATGATACTTTATTTGTTTAAACTTTGGATAAATCTCGACAATCTCGTGCGAAAAAAAATGCGTAATCATATTTTGTTTTAGATCCACTATAGTCGAATCTATACAACGATCTTTGAAGAAATATCCTGTTGAGATTAGTTGACAACTTTCTAATACTGTTAAATGAGTACACACGTTAGAAGACCGCACATTATTACAAATTTTACTAAATGATCAAATACTCTTCTCGAGTTTGTGATAGACTTTGGACGCTCACATAGTTAAGGATCTCCGTATGCACACGCGCGATCTACTTTTGGATCGCTGCGAATGACAATCTCTGCCACAGAAAGAGAGTACAACTGTTACAGTCAATTTTATCGAGTATAATAATTGATGTCTTTATCGTTAGTACATCGAAGCGCTATCAGCATTAATGTTCCTAAAATCGTAATATATTTGGTATAGCGAATACAAGATTTTTATACCGTATATGTATACTGTATTTACAGAGATTTATATGTCGTTGCAATAAATTGCATTTTTGCAAACAGATATTTGTGAATGTACAAATGACGTAACACTTCGTGTAACACTTATATAGTCAAAATAAACTATTAAGAATGACTAAACTTACTATATAATATATTGTTGCTTTATACGTGGTATATATTAAATAGTAATAATATTTAGCAATATACAAATAATTAGGATATTACATTGTAATAATACAGAACTGTGAACAAAGTGTATAAAAATGAAATAAAAGACGTTTCTACGTTATAAAGTCTAATTTCTACGTCATAAGTGCTAAATCGACAAGTTTGAAGATTATTTCTCCTATTAATATCACGAATAAATTATATACGGTCCCTGGGGTAATAATCTTAATGTATATTGTTGATATTCTTTTTATTCCCCAACTTCCTTTTCTTATACAAGTATCTCGTATAAAATTATTTAGCTTGAGAATAAAAAGGACGTACTTAGCATTTGAATATGCGTCAAAATATAAGAACCTTAAGGCTCGGTTTCATCAAACTTCGATTAAACCTTATGTTTGGTCTAATAGGTGTCGTAACTAGTGGTCTGTTCTTTTCAGCGCTGCTGAACTGAGTACCTATTGTGGACTTCTTCGGAATCAATTCCGATTAGAATAAATCCGTTTCCCCTAGAAAAGACAATAGAAATCTACGAAATAACTGAATGTTTCCGATCGGAATTGGTTCCGAAGAAGTTCATAAGTCCCGATCTACAAAATAGATGTAGTAAGCTTTAACCTTTAAGAAATTAACCAATCACTGTGGAATTATAGAGGAATAATCAATTGTGATTGGTTAATTTCTTACGACTTAAAGATTACTACATTTATTGAGCGTCTTCTACAATGACAGTAGGAGAAGTAGTAAGAAATAAGCAGTAAGCAAATTGACCAATTCCATTCTCACGTTTCAAAAATAATCGATTGTGATTGGTCTATTTACTTACTGCTTATTTCTTACTACTACTCCTACTGCCATTGTAGAAGACGCTTTGTAGATCGGGATAATGGCACACAAAAAAACTTAAGCAGTAAAACGTAAGCAGTAAGCAAATTGACCAATTCCATTCTCACGTTTCAAAAATAATCGATTGTGATTGGTCTATTTACTTACTGCTTATTTCTTACTACTACTCCTACTGCCATTGTAGAAGACGCTTTGTAGATCGGGATAATGGCACACAAAAAAACTTAAGCAGTAAAACGTAAGCAGTAAGTAAATTGACCAATCACAGTCATCTATTCTTCTTACGGTCCAAGAATCAATGACTGTGATTGGTCAATTTGCTTACTGCTTACGTCTTACTGCTTAAGTTTTTCTATATGCCACCAGCTTAAGGGCCCTCATACATGAAATGACATAACTACATGTGCATAGCATAAGACTGTATGGGCCAATGAGCATTGAATATTTAGCCATT